TGTTTGGGGTGCTCGGCAGAGTATACTGTCTACGGGACCTCCGGGGGGTACGCGGATGGAATGTATTGACAGACATGCTGCATGGCGATGGTGTGGCCTACCGCATGTCTCTTACTCTCTAAGCAACAAGGTCTTGAGTCAACCTTCTTTCTCTTTCGGCCTCTGACGAGCTACCGCACCCAAACATATCCATTATTTCGAGATACCCTGCCAAAACACTAAGCAAGGTTTACCCACGTTATCCATGTCACACATCAGCAACCAACGTAGGTGCTAGCATTTTAAGTCCTACCTTGGCAGGGTTCCGCATGTTCACCATGGTGCCGTCGGCGATGTAAGTTGCACGAGGGAAATCCGGGTGACCCCAGGTTGAAGGAAAGTGCAATGAGCTGCCTGTTCCGCTGGTTCAGGCCACTGGATCTCCTGTACCACACGACCAAATAAGCGAAGAGAACCGATGAGTCAACTTCATGTTGAAATACAGTGTGAACTTATCACGCACAGCAGACTCTCCTTACACAACTCCTCCACGCGCTGACAGGGAGCGTGTACGCGTCAGATAGAGGGATTGACGGCACATTGCGGTGGGTTCGTGACGGGCTAGTGCTGGTGTCGAGCGTCGGCCTGTTCCCGCTGACGGTTCTGCAGTAACACGAGGTGTACGCATGGCTCTAATCCTGAATGTCTTCCCTCGAGTCATCCCAAATATCACTTCCCACTCCGAATTCTTCAGCGTATCATGAGTCAAGTTGTGTTTTGTAGAATAGTCTACAACTGAAAATCAATGCATGCACTCTCACCACTTGCAGACAAGGCATGTTCTGCGCGGCCGCCGTCATGTCCTTGAACTCGTTGTGATACGTCCCAGCACACCGTCCATATGCGAGGGCCACGTCCTCGAACAAAGTGTCCCTCCTGAGTATCTCCAGCCAGCACAAAACTCGGTCTCTGTCATCCATGCTCCCCCGGATGACCCGCCTGGCCTTGTTTGTCCTCCGCCGAGTAGTTTCCGAGGTGGTTCCGAGCTCGCCCAAACAGCCATGAGCGGGCGAGACGGTTTCCCTCAGCATCCAGAACGTGTCTTCGTAAAAGGCGTCGACCTCGTCCTTCTCCATCCCTGTTTTGTATCGAATCTGGCTGCTCCTGTGGGCATCATGGATCCCACCCTCCTCGCTAGGGAACCGAAGGGGCAGACGTGCCCGACTGGCAGTGCCGTTCGCGGTGCTGTTACCCCTGCCAATGCGAGGGAGGTCCGAGCTTCTTCAGTGTATGCCGATCGGTTAGACTCCTACGCATATCCTCCTCCAACTCGTCAGCATCAAGACTGTCCACCACAGCAGGCGGGAGCATCATCGCCGCCGCGGTGGAAGCTTCGAACTGGGTTTTGTTGCTTGCACGTCTTGGTTCCGCTGGTACATCAAGACAGCCAACTTTCTTTTCCGCGGGTCAAGGGTCAGCATGGTTGACCTTGCGTCGGCCGCAGCAGGCAGAGCTCTGGCGATCACAACGTGTAGCAGCAGCAAGGCTGCACCGGGGGCTTTTGTGCCAGTGTGTGAGTGTACGGGTGACAGCAGCTTCCGACACCGCAGATCTCGTCCCAAGCCTACAGTCCCTTGTGGGAGACCGCGGTCCGCAGTTTTTTCGTGATCGGCTGAGTATTAAATATGTGGCTGGGGCACAGGCATATATTTGGCATATTGCTGAATGGACCAAAATAATCCTCCCGCCCCAAATCTGAGTTTTAAATAGCTCTAGGGCACAAGAAAGGGGGGGTACGCGGCAGAACAAATACGAGTACCCCAATGTCGTACATTCTGCCTGGCCCCCTGGTGCTCAGAAAATGGTTTCCTTAAAGCGGGGAACTTATTTCGCGCCAGCGTCCTTAAAGCGGGGTCGACTGTACTTCGTTCGTTCAAGAGAAAACCCACAAACGACGCATCTTCACGTACTGTACATGCATGTACAAGTACAAGAACCACGAAACATTGCACACCGAGCTACCAACACCACCCCTGATAACGGTTGCGAGCAAAATAATTCACATGCATGCGCCCCATGCCCATTTGTGCACATGGAATACAAAAAACCGCGAGAGGCACCCACGGCTTTCATCCTCGACGACCAATTCACACCACCATCAGAAAGTCAGTGAATAAGAATGAAGGCGGAACGTACCACCATCCGCCAGCTTGTACGATCCCTTCAGTCAGGTGGAGTGAACTCCTCTTCCATCTTCCCGCAAGGTTTCCGTGCCATGCTGCTTGCTGACCCTCTCCAAGGATAGTAAACAGGCGACGTGTGCCACCGTAGATTTCGTAGATGCTGCAGTAGATGTTCGTGGGTTGAGGCGCGTTCGTTGGACCTGCCATCGGCGACTTGACCTGTCAGAGATGTTCGATGATTCGGGTGGCCCAGTTCTATGTGCTTGGAGTTTAGAGCGGGTGGCCCATGACGGGGCGTGGATGGGCAAAAACGTGTTGGGAAACGTGTTGTGTGCGTGTTGTATTAATCGGGGGCGTGCTTGAGCTCGTCATTCCATCACCCACGGCATCAAGTCACGCATAACGCTCAAACACCCAAAACGAATCTTCATGAATCTCCACCAATCTACCACACTCCCAAGGAAAACATTAAGAATCTTCTTGTTCCTCCGTAGTTCGTCACTGCAATACCCGCACATGTATGCGCAATATACCACCCGCATGCTATGCTACGAGTATATCGAATAGCCCCCCTGCTCGTATGCGTCGTCATGCTCCGGGAAAATATCATACTCATCTTTCTCATACCAGTTCATCCTAAAACACAACCAAAACCAAGGAAACGAAAATACTTCAGACANATCGGGGGCGTGCTTGAGCTCGTCATTCCATCACGGCATCAAGTCACGCATAACGCTCAAACACCCAAAACGAATCTTCATGAATCTCCACCAATCTACCACACTCCCAAGGAAAACATTAAGAATCTTCTTGTTCCTCCGTAGTTCGTCACTGCAATACCCGCACATGTATGCGCAATATACCACCCGCATGCTATGCTACGAGTATATCGAATAGCCCCCCTGCTCGTATGCGTCGTCATGCTCCGGGAAAATATCATACTCATCTTTCTCATACCAGTTCATCCTAAAACACAACCAAAACCAAGGAAACGAAAATACTTCAGACACGACAAAGGTATCCAAATAGCATACCAACACACGCCAATCACTCTCGCTCTCTTCTGAAAATTCTCAACTCAAACTCTTTTCATCCAGAAAAATATGACGAACGCTGTTCAAAGACGCCTTTCCTTTCACCGCCAATTCGTCACAATATCTCGGTGCGTCTCTAAATCCGCCTAGCTAGATATCCTACCATTCCCAATATGTATGCAATCCTAAGACAAATTATTCCATTCATCCACCAAACATTCGTCCGCAAGTAAAACGCGAAGATGTACTATGGGCCGTTTAAACGGACCGACTTATTGTCAAAATTTTCGACATTTGTCTTTCAAAAACTTGGAACCTGTGTGCAGTCATTTTAAACGTGTGACATGGACTTGTGCAACTTGTGTAAAAAAAATTGACGCCGTCCGAGAGTTGTAGCGCTCACTTCGAGACAACACACACGACACAACACAAACCGCGGAAAACACGACATCATGGACACCGACATGGATATCACGACCACCCAGCGTGGCCGGCAGACCAAAACCCCGGCGAAATTCCAGCAGACGGGCTCTCNCATGGCGGACCGCCGTTTTTCGGACGACACAGCAACAGCAGACAGCATCGTCAACGTTGGCAACAGCGACTTTCCACGTCATCGTCAACGTCGGCCATGACTCACACACAACCCTAGCTGACTTTCTACGGTGAGGGGTGTTGGGATTTGTATCCAAGAACTGACTCTATTCTACTGCATGAGTTTTGTGCAGTATTGTGAAGGCGTGTCTCCAAGTCTGTAACCGTCAGGTGAAGACAGCTTGGGCGCCTGTGTTTTGGATCTAATGATCACTCTGTGTTGTATCTACCCAAACTGCGCCACCACTGCCAACTACACAACAAACAGCAACTACAATTCTGTTGTCA